ACACAAACCCACAGAGACTGCAGGGACTTGATCCTGAGACACAGACAGGGAGATGGTGTGCCATCTCCAAAAGAGAGTGACCTAGCAGCTTGCTCTCTGAGAGCAGGAGCACACGGCTTCATGATAGTGCCAGGACTAAAGGAAGTCACTCAAGTCATTCCCAACACCCTGCCACCCCCAACCCCCCCGGCATCGCCCATAGGCACCTGTCACAAGACAAAGAAAGAACTCAAGGCTGTACCACTCCCAGCCCACAGGGGCTTACTGGAGCAGTCCTGAGCAATATCCTGGTTCTGGCTTTCTCCCCTTCCTCAAGGCTCATAGCCTAAGAAAGGCCAGAGAAAAGCGTTTCCCACCACCAGCCACTTTGTGTTCTCCTGCCTATGAGCATTTCAGCTGAGAAGATGCTGCCTGGTTACAGCTGCAAACGCCCTCCCAGGCTCCATACCTGGTGGGAACTAAAGCTAAAAATACTGGGTGGGGGCACTGCCACATTCCCAGGTTTGCACAGCTAGGTAGGAATCTAAGGTCTCACATCTGGGCACGCATGCCCAGAGGAACAGAGGCAGAGAGAAACACGACTTGTGCTGCCACCACCCCGACACAGGCCCTGCCCTGCTGCCACCACACCCTGTCTGATCATGCAGTGCTGACAAGACTTCATGAGAACGTCACAGAGGGGTGCTGAGGTTTCAGCCCTACCTCGCTGCATGAAACACTTGGTCCCACCCATACCACATGTAGTCAGAGCACAATTGCTCTGGCTCCTCACCACTACTGCTGCAGCCAGTGCCAGATTCCCTTACAAGTATCAGAATCAACATTACCAGTGCCTGAGGAAACTCCATTGCCCAATAGGACCCATGACCCTTACTGTACAAGCAGACACACACACACACCCTGCTGTCCACACCATCCCTGCTGAAACTGCTAGTGTCTCCACTGTTGTGTGCTGGGAAGAGATAGTAGATCTTGAAGACAGATCTTTTCAAATATTACATTCAGACAAAAAATAAGAATGAAAAAAGCACTCAAGATCTTTGGCACACCAAACTCACAGAACAATCAATCAAATATCCACATGACTGGCCTATCTGAAGGGGAAGAAATAAAGGTGAAAGTCGTAGAATACCTATTTAACAACATTATAGAAAATTCCCCTAATCTTAAGAAAGTCATGGACACACAGGTACAGGAGGCATATAGAACCCCAAACAGACATTACTAGAAAAGATCCTCACCATGAAATATTATAGTCAAGCTATTAAAAATATAGGGTAAATAATTCTAAAAGCTGCAAAAATAAAATCTTCAACTCACATTTAGTGGCCATCCAATAAGGGCAGATAACTCAGCAGAAATGTTTCAGGGCAGGGAGTTTGAAATGATATATTTCATGTCCTAAAAAAAAAAAAAAGACTTCCAATCAAGATTACCATATGCAACAAGGCTATTTTTCAGAAACAATGGACACATAAAGATTTACCAAGATAAGCAAAGACTGACAGAAATCATAACCAAAAGACCAGCTTTACAAAAGATGTTTAAAGGAGTTCTGTACTTAGAGGTAAAAGAAAGATAACTACTATCATGATAACGTGTGAATGTGTAAATTCCACTAGAAGATAGATACGCAAAAGAGAAAGAAACAAACATTATCAATACAATAAATCATCAAATGATAAGGATGAGTAAGTGAAGAAGGGAAAAATAAAAGATATTCAAAACAACAGCAAATAAATCAACAAAATGACAAGTATAAGTTCATATTTTCAATAATACGGTGGACTCTTGACTTATGAACTCAATTCATTCCTGCAGGCTGGTCGTAACTCAGGTTGTCAGGATCCTCAATACAGCTTTCAGTCTTTCTCCTATGTGTAGGCACATCTCAGGGTCCTTTGACATTGGCCAAGGATTTCTCAGTTAACCCCATACAGGAAAGGATGTTGTAATATTTCTTCCAGGACTGTTTAAGGGTTAAATCTGTAACTGAGATCATCTGGAAGCACAAGTGTCTGGTGTTCCGGTCGTAACTCAAGACATTAGTTGTAAGTTAAAACTAAAATTCTGATCAAAATCCAAGTTCATTATGTTAGGCTGGTTACAACTTGAATGCAAATGGACTTTATTCTCCAATTTATAGACACAGATTAGTTGAATGGATTACAAAACAAGACCCTCAAAATACACTGCCTACAAGAAATTCACCTCACCATTAAAGACATACAGACTGAAAATAAGAGTGGAAAATGATATTTCAAGAAAATGGAACCCTAAGGTGAGCAGGAGTAGCTGTACACATTTCTAACAAAATAAAGTTTAAGAAAAAAACAGGGAAGACAAGACAAAGAAGGTCATTATATCAAGAAGATATAGGGATTATAAATCTATATGTACCTAATATCAGCACTAAATTTTATAAAATAAACATGATTAGACCTAAAGGGAAAGACAGATTCTAATAATGGAGGTTTTGATACTCCAATCTCACCAATGGGTATATCATTCAGACAAAAAAAATCAAAAAGAAACATCAGAGTTTATTCTACAGATCAAATGGACTTACCAGACATTAAAAGAACATTCCATTCATTGTTGCAGAATTATTTTCATTAGCATGCAGAATGTTCTCTAAAATAGATTATGTATTAGCCACAAAATAAGTCTTAACAAAGTCAAAGAAACTGAAATCCTAAAGTGTCTTTTCTGATCACAATAGAATGAAGTTAAAAGTCAACAAGAAAAACTTTAGAAATTAGACAAATATGTGAAGGCTGAACAGCACATGCTTGAGTGCACAGTGGGGTCATTGAAGAAAGGAATTTAAAAATTCTTTGAAACAAATGAAAATGGAAACACAATATACTAAAACATATGGGATGCATCAAAACTAGTACTTACAGAGACTTTTATAGCAATGAGTGTCTACACACATTCATAAGCATGTTCATACGTGCATGCTCACACAAACACGCACACAAGACTTCAAATAAACAACCTAATAATGTATCTCAAAGACTTAGAAACAGTAACACTCAAACAAAAATTAGTAGAATGAAAGAAATAATAAAGACCAAAGCAGAAATAAATGAAACAGAGCCTCAAAGAACAATGTAAAAGAATGTAACAAACAGCTGATTCTGGGAAAAGATAAACAAAATTGACAAATCTTTAAGTAGATTAAAGAGGGATAGGAGAGACACAGAGAGAGAGAGAGAGAGAGAGAGAGAGGAAATGAAAAATGAAACATCACAGAAATACAAAGTATCACTAAGGATCATTTTGAAAAATTATAGGTCAACAAATTGGAAAATTTAAAAGAAACAGACAAATTTCTGGACACAAAATTTTTTTCATTAAATTTATTGGTACTTTTAACGTATGCAGTGCAATTACATTCATCATTGGAATCCTGTACCTTTACATGATGTATCTTGGTTCTTATTTTTTGCCCATACCCCTGGCCTCCCTTACCCCCTCCATCCTTCCACATTTATAAAGATTTTTGTTTCATTTTTTTCCTTTTCTCGTATTTTTTTCTTTTCCCTTTTTTCCTTTCCCCACCCCTCCCACTTCTGCTACTCCTTTGGACCTTTTCTTCCTATTTCATATTATCAATTACACCATTTGAACCTTATTTACACTTTTAGTTTTTCACACCAGAGAAACTATTTGGGATTTACACATGTGTCCTATTTATTTCAGTTAGGAGTACAGCCTCAATGTGCATCTATTTAACTATAGAAGTCTCTAGTTTCTCATTCTTTATGGCTGAGTAGTACTCCATTTTATAGAAAAACCCTATCTTCTTTATCCAGTCTCCAGGTAATGGGCAATTGGGCTGTTTACAAGTTTTAGCTTTTAAAGACTGTGCCACTATAAACACGGGTGAGCGTACAGCATTGTGGTATGATTCTTTTAATTCTTTTGGAATACCCAGCAGAGGGATAGCTGGGTCAAATGGGACCTCTAATCCTAGTTCTTTGAGGTATCTCCATATTCATTTCTACAGTGGTTGCACCAGTCTGCACTCGCACCAACAATGGAGAAGGGTTCCTTTTTCCCCACAACCCCACCAGCATTTGTTATTGTGTGATTTCTTGATAGCAGCCATTCTTTGTGGGGTGAGGTGGAATCTCAGTGTTGTTTTCATTTGCATCTTTCGAATGACCAGTGATATTGAACATTTTTTTATATATTTGCTGCTTTTACTTGTTTGTCTGAGAAATGTCTGTTCATTTCAGATGCCCATTTTTTAATCAGATCTTTATATTTGGGGGTCTGATTTTTTTGAGTTCTTTATATATTCTAGGTAGTAGACCTTTGTCTGAGGAATGGCTGGTAAAATTTTTTTCCCACATTGTAGGTTGTCTCTTAGCTCTTTTGGCAGTTTCTCTTGCAGTGCAGAAGCTTTTTAATAAGATGAGATCCCAGTTGTTGATTCGTTGTGCTATTTCCTGTGCTACTGAGGATTTGTTCATAAAATCTTCCTATGCCAATGTCATTGAGAGTTCTACCTAACTTATCTTCTAGCAAGTTTAGAGTTTCTGTTTTAATATTTAGATCTTTAATCCACTTCAATTTTAGTTTAGTGCATGGTGAAAGATAGGGGTCTAGTTTTAATCTTTGCCAGGTTGAAATCCAGTTTTTCCAACAGAAAAGGACAGACTAAATGATATCAATGATGGATTTAATCAAAGATTTGCTTTTTTGAGACAAGGTCTTGGCTTTGTAGTGCAGGCTGGCCTTGAATTCACTATGTAGCCTAGGCTGGCCTCAAACTCATGGCAATCCTCCTGCCTGAGCCTCCCTACTGCTGAAGTTACAGGTGTGCACCACAATGCCCAGCTTACCAAAGCTTTAAAGAAGAACTAAGGCTAATGCTTCTCAAACTATTGCACAGAATTGAAAGAGAGGAACTTCTCTAAACTTATTGTATGAGGCCAATATTAACCCTGAAAACAAAACCTGATAAGGACTCCACAAAAAAGAAAATTATAGCCCAATATCCTTAAGGAGCACAGATACAAAAATCCTCTACAAAAAATTAGTAAATCAAATTCTACAGTACAAATTCACCTGGCGACTGCAGTGAGTTTCCAGGCCTTAACTTTTGACTGCCACTGGATCCTCCACCTGTCCAGGCTGCCATTTTAGATTCTTCTACCTCTGACCTGGTTAATGGCCACTGAGATCTTCCATTTTCATAAGCTTATTAGTAGATCACTCAAATAACTAAACATTTATTTTATACTGCCATTTGTTTCTCTAGAGAATCCAAGCTAATACATGTACCATGTTCAAGCTTATTCCAACCCAAGGATGCAAGGATGGTTTAATATACACCAATCAATAAACATTATACACTACACAAATAAAATGAAGGATAAAAATCATATTCTCATCTCAGTTGATGCAGAAAAAGCAACTGATAAAATTCATCATGTTTTTATGATAAAATCTTGAACAAATTAGGTATAAATCATATCTCAGAATAATAAATGCTGCATATGACAACTCTATAATCAACAGCATAGTGAATGGGAAAAAGTTGAAAGCATTTACTTTAGGATCAGGAATAAGATAAAATATCTACTCTCACATCTCTTATTCAGTATGACACTAGATATTTTGTTTGTTTGTTTGTTTTGTTTTTTTGAGACAGGGTCTTACTGTGTAGTTGAGACTGACCTGAAATTCATTATGTAGCTCAGGGTGGTCTCGAACTCACAGTGATCCTCTTGCCTCAGCCTCCGAGTGCTGGGATAGCTACTAGAGATTTTAGCCAGAGCAACTAGGCAAGATAAAGATATACAAAGCACACAAAGAAGGAGAAAACAAAATTATCTGTGTTTGCAGATGATATGATTTTATACACAAAATTATCTACAGACTCCTTAAAAGACCACAGAACTGATAAATGGATTCGGCTAGATACAAAATCAACATACAAAATTCAGTAGCTTTTTTATATACCAATACTGAATCTGCTGAGAAAAAAATCAATCCCATTCATGATAGACACAATAAAATAAGATGAAATGAAAAGCAATAACCAGGAATAAACTTAACTAAAGAAGTGAAAGACTTCTACAGTGAAACTTAGAAAACACTAAAGAAACTGAAGAAAACATTAGCTGGAAAGACCTCCCATGTTGATGAATTGAAAGAGTAAACATTAAAATGTGTGTACTACCCAAAACAATCTACTGATTCAGTGCAATCCCCATTGAAATGCTAATCACATTCTTGATAGAAACAGAAAAAAAAATACCATCCTAAAACTCACACGAAAGCAAAAAAGATCCCTAAAGCCAAAGCAATCTTGAGAAAATGAGAAAAGCTAGAGGCATCACAATTTCTGATTTCAAGACACATTACAGGGTTGCAGTAACAAA